CTCCTTGGGTAACAGCAATGGGGTGTCAAAGTAACACGTGCGTTTTGTTCAGCTTCCTGGTACCTGGGAATGAACGAGGCCAAGTGTTGCCAAGTCACATCTGGCTCTGGCACAGCCCCTTCCTCTCAAATCCACCAGCCAAAGGAGAAGCAAGACCCTCAGAGAGGGAGCAGAGCAGGGCAGGTGAGTTGTTCTGACCACGGTGACCATGTTCCACGTGGATGTTTGTGGCCTGAGGCCGAGGTGTTTGATGTCAAACAGCATCTTAGAAAGAAAAACTCACCTCTTCCCTCCCTCTGCCCTCTGTACAAAGCAGGGGACTGGTGTTTCACCTTCATTTTTAATAAGGAGCTTTCTAGAGACTCGTTGACACTCAAGGCCTGCAGGAGATCCCCAGATGAATCCATCAGTGTCACGTTGAAGCGGTGAGTGCAAAACACACACACACAAACAGGGCACACCTCCTTGGGGGAAGTAGGAGCATTAATCAATGAAAACAAAGTGCAATTGCTTTAATTAAGCTAACGATCACAGTCGACCCGAGCGCTCTTCTCCTCAAAAATGAAAAATCTGCACTCCAAACCAAACCCCAGAATCATGTTAACAGGGCACACACAGCTAAAAAAGGGTCAGTGGAAACTCACAGTTTGGGAACTTATCATCCACTCCAGCACCTCATCACCCACCTCAGGTCCTTCCCTGCCCAGCTGCTGGCCCTCTGGCCCGTAGCCAAGGCCAGCACTCAGTCCTGGACTCCACACAAGACCATCAGCCACGTGGGCAACCAGCTACAAGACAGAGTGAACACCCCGTTGGCTCCTAAACCAGCAAGCTGAGATCACACCACCCGCTGCCACACGACACCCAGCACACCCACATGAAGTTCTGCTAGTTTTAAAGGAAGGAAAAAAGCCAGGAAAAGTCCTCCTGGTTTGAAAGGAAACACTGAGCCAGCTGCGTTTTGGTTTTTCTGCTGCTCACTTCCACCTCTGAGCACACTTGCACGTGGATTTGCTTTCTCCCCAGCACCAGCTTCCTGCCTCTGTTGTCCCATTCCAGAGCAGCCGTGGCAGGACCACACAGCTTGCTCCAGAGGGAAGCTGACAGCCCAAGCTACAATTCCATCCCTCTTCCTCCTCAATAAAAAAACCCAACTCTGACAGAAGTCCAGGTAGACTGCAGTGAGCCTCCCACAACCCCAAGGCCTGAGCAGGGAGCGTTTATAGCTATGAAATCAGACAACCAGACTGGCTGGAGGAGGATCTTTGAGGTTTGTTTTCCAGCTGGCCAACCCCCATGTGTGTTGACAACACAGAAGTGTGAGCTGGGAGCACAACCCAGTGATCTGGGAGCACAACCCAGTGATCTGGGAGCACAACCCAGCCCCTTGCTTCTTGCCCCCGAGCTAAATGAAGCCCTAGGTCTGGCTGGGGCTATTAGGGCAACGCTGCTCTGCAACTTCTTTGCAATAGCCTTTGTTTATTCCAAAAAGCTTCTGCCAAGAGCGTGTTCCTACCCCTGACAAGTTGTTTTCCATCTTCCCCAGCCTTCTCCACCCATCTGGGATGAAGAAATAAGGCCAATTGTCCCCGAGATTTTCTACACACAGGACGAGGAGGCGTCAGCACCAGGAATTTATCACCATCTGCAAGGCACCACCACACATTATCCCTGTCAACAGCTCCCAGAAATACCCCGACGAGCTGGAAAACCAGAGCTGAGGGAAGAAGCAGGGGATGGCCAGGGACGTGCTGCACAGGGGGTGGTACAGCCCCTACCAAACACAGCAAAATCTGCTGCTGTCACCGCTGCTCCCCAGCGGTGCCTCCAGGGGAGAAGGGTGATGCCCAGGCCCAAACTGCCTGCTGCAGAACCTGCCTCTGCTCCCCTCCTTCCTTCCCCCTCTCCCAAAGCTTTCAGGGCTGCACAGCTTCAGTGCTGACACAGCCATGCCAAAAGGAGCCACTGAAGGCACAGGAGCACCCAGAGCATTTATGGCAGTCCCTCCAAATTCACCTCCCTGAGAGTTTTCCAAGCCAAAGCAGAGGGAATTCTCTCCTCCAAAGCAAGGCCACAAAAGCCTGCCAGGCTGTGAGGAGCAGAGGGTGAGAATGCAGAGGAGCATTAATCCAAAGTTTGCTATTTTCATTGCCTTTGCTGGAGACAGGATAAAGCCACAGCTTCTCAGCAGTTTGCCTTTCATCAGGGCCTAGCACATTCTGACATTTTGAGGCCAATCAGGTACACTATAAATAAAAAGATGCAAACACAGGGGCAAAAGCTGAGATGTGAAAAGCTCCTGCAGGGCATCAAGACTTTCTCTCCAGCCAGCCAAGCAGGTCCTGCCTTGGGATGAAAGGCCCTTAACACTGCCACTGAAAAGGTTGGGAAGGGACAAGCTACAAGCAGAAGCAGCATCTTGAGCCTGGAGAACAGCAGAGGCACAACCTGTGCCTACAGCCAAGCCACAGGTCCTGTAGCAGACTCCATTTTCCATCTTTCTTGAAAAAAAGGCAAAAACTATGAAGTCAATTGTGTAAAACTTTAGGATTTTGGTTTTTCTGGGTGAGGGGGACACTTAAGGAAGGAGGAATCCACAATCAGAGCCGTGTGCAGCTGAAGCAGAGCTGGTTTTAGGGACAAGCAACTGAAGCAGGTGCCCAAGGAGACCTCTCTCATTGCTTTAGGGAAAACACAAAGCAGCCAACACACCAGTGGCACCAGCAAGCTCTGAGATAAACCAACCAGCCAGATGCCAAACAGCCTCCTAATGTCCTTAGGTATCCCAGAAATCTGCATCATCAAAGTGGAAACCTTCATCTGCAAGATCAAGCCCACCTCTGCTGCACACAGCTTAGCAGCAAAAGGCCAAGAGGGCAGATTTTAGGTTTGGGTCAGCTCCCTGCCTACACCCCATGGCTCACAGAGCTGCCAGCACTGCCTGGGGAGGTGACAGCCAAGTGAACTCTTCCCTCTGCTGATGCTGACAGGGACACCTCTAACAGGCTGCTCAGAAACAACCTCCTTCCTCTGTCTTATCCACTGGAACAGTATCAGCACTTCAGATCCTCACCTCTGACACCAAGGCAGGTTTATCCACCACTGACAAAGCAGTGGGAAACAAAGAAAAAACTGCCCCAAATCACCCTCCAGTTCCCAGAGGTTTGTAAAATTACTTGGAGAGAGGGGAATTAATCCTGTGAGTGACGTGACCTTCTGCTCAAACTCTCTGCTGGAGACTCAGTTCTCACACAGCTTGAGAGAAAGAGCCAGAAATGGTAGAAAGTCCTTGTGAGAGTGAGAAGGAAAGCTGCTCAGAGTCAGGGAAAGGAGGCAGTGCCTGAAACCTCTCCACAGAGCAGGCCTGGATCCTCCCAACACATGTACAGACACGTTTACAAACCAAAACCTGTAGAAAATGTAAAAGCAGAGTTTTCACAGGACCCCAGACTGGTCTGGGGGGGAAGGGACCTTTCAAGGTCACCCAGTCCAACCCCCCTGCAGGGAGCAGGGACATCCCCAACTAGAGCAGGTTGCTCAGAGCATCATCCAACCTCACCTGGAATGTCCCCAGGGATTTTAGGGTTTTGTTAGATACTGATCCAGCTGGTAGTGGGAAGAGAAGACATCTGGAGTTTATCATCACAGCCAGGAGTAACTGCACCAGAGGATGTATTTTGCTTGCAACCAAGAGCTTCCCTACAAAGGGTTCTTTTCTCTCCAGAATGCAAATATCACAGAAAATTAAGCCCAGGAGCTTTCTGTGGAAGCAGCAATCATCTGGGATGAAAGGAGCATGACTACAAAGGGGACAGAAGGGTCCTGTGAGCCACAGCAGCAGCACCCACCTGTCGACACCAACCCTAAAAGGGCCCAGAACAAGCCACAGCAATATCAGGAGAATCACCTCACTGCTCCCTCAAACTGCACAGGGCAACCTGATGCAAGGATGACCCATAACTGGGGTCACACCAGCACCAGCCACACGTGGCACCTTCTGCTGCCACCACTGACAGAAGTCAGCAGGCTGCATTTGGGCTTATTTCACAGTTTTCTTTTTTCCCCTTCCTTTACATTTTAAGATCCATTTTAAAAGATCCAAGCTGAACCTTTCAGGTACAAAAACAGTTCTGAATGTATCAGCTTCTGCACTTTAAACTTTTCCAGTTCTGCACCCAGCTTCTGTAGAAGAATCATCTCCTCTATTCTCAGGGAGACACCCAGACCTGGAACCCCAGGGACAGCACATCCAGCAAGCTCCAGAAGCCAGGGCAATGCTACACAGTCATTTATGCTGGGAATCCTCCCCTTGCTGCCAAGCTGAGGGGATTTCTCAAAAGGAAGCTACTCACTCCAATCACTAAGCCAAGGATGAAGGTATTACACCAGCCTCTCACCACGATGCTGCGCCCACAGAAAGGTTTCTGGAGAGGAGGATGTCATTTGTCACTGCTGGTGCAGTGTTCATTCAGCAGCCAGCCTGCAGAAGGGGACCACAGGGGTTTCCAGGAAGGCAGAGAAGTCTCCCAGGAGGACACATCAGCCTAGAGTGCAGCAAAGGCTTTGTGAGCCACTGCCCTGGAGAAGAGTTCCTTCCACAGGAGAGTGCTAGCAGTCAGAGCAGAGGGCTTGTGTCCATCCAGGCCATGAGATGTTCTTCTAATCCAGCTCTGACCTCGAGTTATTTTTGTTCCAATACATTCTTTTGGCATTAAGAAAGGTCTGTTTCCTCCTCTGCAGGATCCCTTCAGCTACACAAAGCTATGTTACAGGCTGGTCACAAGGACTGCCAGGGAGCAGCAGTGGAGTGGCAGGGAGGAGAGGGCAGTCACGGGTATTTTAACTGGGATGTGTACATTTGGGGTAAAAAGGCTTCAATCAAAGTGCATGCTTTTACTCAGAGGTACCCAGAGCAAGGAACCCCCCACCCCACCCCAGGCCTGGCTGGGGAGTGCAGCAGCCTTTGCAACCCCGAGGCCCCGTCCGTCACGAATCACCCGTCAAGTAGCCAGGGATTGAATGTTCTTCAGCATCTCATCAAAAGCCTCCCGGGAAGGTGCTTGGGCGTTCTGGAAGGAGACCTTGATCCTGCTGTAGAGGCTGAAGGATTTCAGCTCCAGCCAGATGAATCCGAAGCGGTCGTCGTCGAAGAGAACGAAAAGCCCCGGGGTTCTCTCGGGGCTGGTGAAGCCATGGCCAGCAATGAGCCCCGTCCCATAAAAACTGCAAAAACAGCAAAAAAAAACAACCCTGTGAGAAGAGCCACAATTCCCCCACCTCTAAAGAAAAGCCAAAATTAGGGACAAGCCAGGTGCTGCAGAAGGGGGAGTTTCACGCTCGGTTCCGATCACACGGAACGCTGTTGATATCATTTTAAGGAGGGAAACTCCCTGTTGCTATTTGGGGGTTGCTGGTTTTTTTTTGGCTGGTCTAATTAGCAGCTGCACAGCAAGGCTGAATTTATTTTTCAGTCATTCAGCTCAATAAATCTATCAATAAATCAACCCGGGCCCAGACAATCCTGGTGGAAAAGAGAGAGGAGATCAGAGGTAAACCTTGGGATGAGACCCAGGGGAAGGGAGAGAAAGAATCTAAAAAAAGACAAATCTAACAGGAGGGAGAGAAAGCATCTAAAAAAAGACAAATCTAACAGGAGCTGGGGAAGGAGTAAAGGTCAGCCTAACCTCCGAGCAGGCAGCAGGTGGAGCAGGGTTTTACTCAAACACAACTCAGCTGTGACAGCAGGGGCCTCCTGGGATTAACCAGGAGGTTTTTCCATGAGCACAGATGTTGGGCTGAAGGTCACCTGCCTAAGCCTCAGCTTTTGGGCTCTTTTTTTCCACACTTCATTTAGTCTGCTGCTTCACTGACTCCAGGTCCCATCCAGCAAGGTTCTCTGCATGCTTGTAGCTACTGCTTAGGGTGCTCAGCACCTTCCAGAGGTGGCCCCAAGGCACCAGAGGCCAGGGTGGGGTGGAAGAGAGCATTGTGTTCCCACAGCCAAGGATAACAAACGACACAGAGAGAAACAGGAAGTGGATTGAACAGCTCATGAAATATATGAGCTGGGCAGCTCTAGGAAACCAAAAACACACCAAAAAATGGGGAGCGTGGATACAGGAGAGGTGATAGCTCCAGAAATAACAGGATAAAAATCCAGCAAGGAAGGGGGTTGGCATATGCCAGTGAGGCAAAAGAGAGAGGGAGGAAACAAGGGGGTGGGAGGGACCTGGAGGTGCTGAGCCTGGGGCAAAGGAGGCTCAGGGGAGACCTTCTGGCTCTGCACAGCTCCTGACAGGAGCCTGGAGCCAGGGGGGGTCGGGCTCTGCTCCCAAGGAGCAAGTGACAGGACAAGAGGAAACAGCATCCAGTTGCCTCAGGGGAGGTTGAGGTTGGATCTGAGGAACAATTTCTTGCCCTGGAGGGTTGCCCAGGGCTGTGCCAGGCTGCCCAGGGCAGTGGTGGAGTCCCCACCCCTGGAGGGGTTTCCAAGCCATGGAGATGTGGTGTGAGGGACACGGGGCAGTGGGGACCTGGCAGTGCTGGGGGAACAACTGGACTCCATGATCTTAAAAGGTCTCTTCCAAGCAAAACAATTCTATGAACCTATTATAAGACAGGGCAGCAGCAAATCTGAGCACAAGGGGCTGGGAGAGCTGCACCCAGGTAAAAGGCAGACACAAGCAGGCTGTGAAACCACGAGTCCCCGTTACCAAATCCGGCAGGTCCGGGGGTAGTCCTCATTCCTTGATATGACTCCCATGGGCAGCACGAAGGGCTGGGAAGCTGGCGCCTTGTCCTGGGTCGTCCCCTCTGCCCCAGCTGCAGTCTCTTCCCCCTCGGCCCCTTCTCCACCCGGGGGCTTGGCAGCAGGCTGGCAGTGCTCCTCCTCTTGCTGCTGCTGCTGCTGCTCCTCCCGCCGGACCTGCTCCTGCACCTCCAGGACGAGGCGGGACAGCTCGCTGAAGTCACGCAGGTTTTCGATGTCAGGGAGCTGCAGGGGGTGTGCCAGGTCGATCTCTACGGTCTGCTGCCCAGCTGGGATGTTGGGATCTCCCTAGAGACAAGAAGCAACAGTGTGGCTGCAGAGGCAGGGCTGTGACTGTATCCTCTCCACACCCACTGTCCGATTTTTACAGAGTTCCCCCTATTCTACAGTCACGGAGTTGGCAGCTAAAAAAATCCACTCGGACCTTGCCTGAGTTGTCTGTGTCATCTCTGCTTTCCCCCTCCCAGAAACAGAATTTTAAATCAAAAGCTACAAGCCAGGCTGTACTTGCAAGGATGAAAAAGTCCAAGCTGCAACTGGGTTTTGTCAGAATCCCTCCCTGCAGAGAGGAAGGAGCTCAGGAGCCTGGCTTCAGCGAGGAGCTGCCAACATTTGGTACCTGCTCCTCAGATACACGTGAGCAGTCTCCAGTGACCCACTACCAGCTGCTCACAGAAAGCAGCTGGAAGGGAAAGAAAAGGAAGAGGGAGCCAGGTGGCTTCATGAGAAATTTTGCAGAGCACGTTCCAGCTACTCTGCACTCGTTAAGATTTACTCCTACGGAACCATGGCATCGAGATACTTTAGCAAGAACCTGAGAGGAAGGAAGATGCACTCACGGTGATTTTAGTCCCCTTTGCTTTCTTTCCATGAAAGCTCAACATGACAATCTCCAGCCCGTGGCTCCCATAGGTCCCCTTGAAGAGACCTGGCTTTATAAGGTCGTCGGGGCTGCTAGGAGGGAGGTAGATGCGTCGGTAGGTCAAGCAGTTGCTGTGAAAAAAAAGAAACCCAAAGGTTAGAGGTGAAGAGAGAAACACTCAACATGAGGAATGTGTTTGCAGCCTGCTCCTCCTGGCAGCTTTGGGACGTCGTCAAGAGAGATCTGTGTTTTCAGTCACACCAACAAACCTGACAGATTTTGCTTCAGACCTACACAAACGCTCCCTCCTCTCTCCCAGTCCTTGTTGGCACACTGGGATCCTGCAGCAAGGTCACAATAAATGTCCTCACTCCCTGGGATTTCCAGAGAAGCTCTAAGAGTGAAGCATGTTTAAATATCTGCTGCAGTGAGGTGGCTGCTACTAGAAGTTTGGAGAAACAGTTAAAAAGCCCACGGGTTCTCCAGGCTGGTCTGATTTCTGCCCAGCACTCTACAAAGCATATTGCTTACTAATACAGGTAAAGAGCAGGCAGCTCCTTGGGATCATTGGTGTTTGCTTGGTCTTCAAATTAAACACAGTTAAAGGACTCAAAAACCACCTGAGTGTGCTTGGAACCTTTTTACACCACCACAGCTCATTTCTCTGCACAACTGGAAGGCACTGTGCTTCACCATGCCTCTGCACAGAGCCTGCAGACACAGAACATTCCTCTGGCTGCTGCAAGAGCCTCATCTTCAGACCAAATGCTCCTACATGCTCTGGAAGCTGCAGCAGCCTCAGCATCTAGAAAGAACTGATGCCCTTACTCGTATTGGCTGGTGTAGATGAACTTCATCAAGATGAGCTCTTGCATGTGCTCATGGAAGATGTCCTCCAGAGTCCTGCCCCACTCCTCCCTCAGCCACGTCCGGAATTCCTGCAGCACAAGGAGGAGAGAAAAGGGGGGAGAGAATTCCACTGGTGGCAGTGATGTACCACAACATGACTTCACCTCGTCAGCACAATTCACTGGCAGAGAAGTTCCAGGGAGCACCACTGTGCCTCCTCAGAACAAAAGCAAAAGTATCACCCATTTCTGCAAAGCAGCTGATCTACTCCTTTATGCCCTGACTTACCTTGCAGTAACTCATTCATGTGCCCATAAGCTGAGTCCTGTGCCCTATCCTGCCACCCTAAACATAAAAGGGGCAGCTTGTCAAAGGCACCAAAGATTTAGGAGGTTAAATCCTGCTGATTTACCACCAAAGCATCTGAATCCAAAGGGTGCTTTGAAAATACACCCTGAAGTACCTCTACACCAGCTCTGACAAGTTAATACCCTGCCATGAGTTAGTGTGATAACAGCTTACACTAAGATAGCAGCCTACTGAGTGATATTCCAAACCTGCTTGCTTTATCTTCTGAAGCCAGATCCTCCAATTACCATAATGCCACACACACAATGCAGTGCTTTGAAAGTATTAAAGCATTCCTCATCTGCCCCAGAACCAGAAAACACTTAACAAAACCTTTCACCCAACTGCTTCCCATTAGCAGACAGACATTTGAAAGCATTTGTTAGAAGCAACTGAATTATCAGATTTGTCATGTTGAACTAACTGGAGCAGGTATTTGCTGCAGGTTTGCATCCTGGCATTTATACCTGCACCTTAAAATATGTGGTTTGAGTCAGGAATCTGCCTTGCTGGGCAGGGCTGAAACAGGCACAAGATAAGCAACCAAATGAAGCTTTTAATCTCTTGACCAAGACAAGCAGTAGCAAACTGCAGCTTCACATGCAGCTGGTTCTCAGTATTAGGCCTGTGTCTGAAATAATTTAATTATACAGACAGCAGTGCCAGAGAGACCAGAGTCTGGTGAGACATGTTGCTTTCTCTGCTATCAAACAGGAACAGTGTCACAGAACAAGAAGGAAAAGGGTGCTGGGGTTCAGAGAACCACCTAAACCAGCTTTTTGCTCAACAGGATGGAAGTTAACAGCTTACTGTGCACTCAGGCAAAGCACAGGGCCTCCACCCAAGCATTCTGCAGGTGTAACACTGAAACAAGCACAGAAAAGGTTCCCCAAGATGTTGCAGTTCTTCAAATGTGGCCACTTTCAGTTTGATTCAAGTCACAGATCAATTCTACTCGCTTAAAAAGGACTGTAGTAAATCTGCCAGCCTGAGTTTTCATCCACGTTCATATACACAGAAATGAGAAGGTTTAAGACCACCTCCCAGACCCCAACGTTAGCCAAGACCTCAGGTTAGACAGCAATGCTTCATCTTCAGAAAGAGGACAGCCAGCCAGCCACAGTGCAGACTCCTCACAAAGCACTCTTACCTCTTGCCTGCCCCCTGACATCCGATGGTGATCTGTCTGGTTGCACTTTGTGGAGAACTCATCCTTCTTTACAATCTGTAGTCACCACAGAGGAGAATTTCACAGGTTAGAGACCTGCTCAGAAGTGCCTAGGGTGGTGTAACTAAGACTGCTTAGAGTGAACACTTCACACAACAAACGTTACTGGATTTGCTACAGCAAAGAAATCACTGAGGGGTCCCCAAGTGCATCAGCTACAGAACAGAGAAATCAAAGCAATAAAACCCTAATCCAATACACTAGTTTTAAGTTGCTTCTCTTCCTCAAAGAAAAGGAAACAATCTCTCAGGAAGCTTTTCAAAGCATCCAGTGTATTCAATTCAATACATCCCCACCTCAAGGTCTCATCTTGCTTGTTCCCGAGTGGGGAACAGCCCACACGACTTGTCAGACACAATGAGTGGAGAGCTGGCACCACACACACCCCAAGGTGGTGAGAGCCACATCCCTTCAATAAAACTCACACAGCTTTTTGATGAACCCATTTCCAGAGCACACGCTCAGCATGCCAAGGACAGAGGGGGCTGGAAGTGCTGGAGGAGCTCACCTGGATGTGGCCATTATGAGGCCCCTTGTGACCATACATGCACTCAACTGTTGCACTTTTCCTCTCCATGAGGTGAATCCTGAAGAGAGGCTTGAACCTCATGGGATCATCAACGTGAGGGTCGTGAGGTGGCAGATACATCCACCCAATGATGAACAGCCCATCTACCTGCAGAGGGGTGGGAGATAAAGCAGATGACATCAGCCTTGAGTGCCTTCTGTCGAGTCTGCAGCCAACAACTCCCCTTCAGCAACAGCAGAGGAGCTGGAGAACAGCTTGCTGCATTTCCAAACCTCATTCCAGCAATTAAACCAGCCCACATGCAGGCACAGCACACCCCTGGGGAAGAGGGAGGGGGTTTCTTTACAAGGCTTCCTGCACCACTGGAAAATGAGCAGGCCTTTATTACCACAAACGACTTTGTGACGGGTCCTTGATGTGCAGGATCCAGAGGGAGAGACTGTTCTGAGGAGACCACACAGCTACTCAGACTCTAATTGGTTTGAGAGCTCATGCTGGCAGATACTCCAACAGGCAAATTCTGCTTCTTGTGATTATCCACGCCTTTTAGACATGGAATTATTTGGCTCTGTTACCCACAGACAGCACAGGAAGCAAAAATCTCTGCTGAGAGGCACAAGTGCCAGACCTTTTCCTGAGCACCAAAGAGAATCCTTCCCCTCAAGCCCTGCAGTCCCAGAGCAAGGGTGCTTTCTAAACAGAGAGAGCTGGGACAAAAGCAGAGCAGTGCCACAGAGGCACGCTTCACTTTATAAGGTCACAGTATCACCTAAGTATTGGTGTGTTTGGATGCACCCTTACACCAGTTCATGGAACAGAATCTTGCAAAACCCAAAGGCCTTGTGATTTGTTACACTTCAACCCATCAGTGAGTGAACCCTGGTGCAAAGAACAAGGGCTTCAGGCAAGCTTCTGGTCCAGCTCTCACCAGTACAGAGTCAAATGTTGTTCCTCCTATTAGGAAGAATTTCTTCCCTGGCAGAGTGGTGAGGCCTTGGCCCAGGCTGCCCAGGGAGATGCTGGAGTCACCCTCCCTGGAGGGGTTCAAAAAAATGTGGAGGACGTGGTTTAGTGGTCAGGTTAGTGTTGGGTTGACAACTGGACTTGATGATCTTAGAGGTCTTTTCCAGCCCTAATGATTCTAAGATTCATTAACTGCTCTCCCCAGCAGCACAAGTGCTGCCAGACCCCATGGGTCTTGCACCAGTATCACGACATCTGGACATGGCTGGTGAAAAGCATGGAAGACTACACAGGAGGGAAGGGAACATGAAAACAAGTGCAAAGGCCTTTGCCAAATGTTCAGCTGAAGGCAAAGACAGAATCATAGAATCACGAAAGCTGATGATGATGAAAAGATCCAGGAAGCAACTTCGGGGTCCCAATCGCTGACTGTTGAGACTTCTCAACAGCATGGAGATGCAGCCAGGTCTGGAAAGCAGCCTAGAAAAGACTCTCAGTCCTCGACTGAGCCCCTGGAGAGAGGTACTCACTCACCACCACGTTCAGCAGTCCCCCATAGGGCCCGATGTCCGGCTGCCACAGCCCCAGGATGTGTCGGTATCGGTGCAGCACTAGGGAACAGGGAGACACTGAAGTGAGCACATCAAGCTAAGGAATTGGGATTTGGGGAAAAGAAAGTAAAGGGAAAACTGCTACCAGACTGCACACACCACTGAGTGATACCCCCCCACAGCTGCCTTTGCTAAGGAAGAGAAGGGTGGTTACACCCAACCACAACCAGGCGGTTCTGAACCAAGGCATCCCATAAGCTCACAGAGATCTGTGGTGCTCTCTGCAGCCCTGCTGCTGGCCCAGTCCAGGGCCAGGACTTTACACAACCAGATACCTCACCAGGAATTCCCAGAAAATTTTAGTAACATGGTCCTGTTAATGCAAACCACATGATACACCCAGAGCCAAAAACAAATAAGGTATCTGCCATCTCCGGTTACCAAAAATGTACTTGATGCCACAGACTGCAAAGCAACAGAAAATAAGGAGGGGCAGAAAGGCAGTAAGGGAACAGGGAAATCTGAATATTTTGAAAGAATTTCCCTGCCTTGGGGAGACAAACTTGTCTCCAGGGTTAAGCATCTTTAAAAACAGCCACCGAGCACACACGGGCAAAGCGCATGGGCCAGGCCAGCTCAGGGGACCTGGGGGGGGGTCACCAGCTCAGGGGACCTG